GATGGACTGATGGATGGATGGATGGATAAATTAATTCAGGCTGTAAAAGTCTGACTCATGTTTTTTAAAAATCCTGCAGTTTGTTGAATAAGTTTATTCTTTGAACCAAGAACCAGGATCAATAAAAACACAAAGTTCTGATTCTGGACTGGGATCAGAAACAATAAAACATTTAATCCTTCGAAGTCGTCGCCGCCTCAAACGCTGAAGTTTCAAACGACGACCTCGTGCTGCTGGCCCTCAGATCAGGTGCTGAGGACGACTCAGCTACGACCACCACGGACTGAAGCTGCCGCCACGTTTCCATGACCTGAACCACGTTAATCACGTGATCATCCAGACGTCATTTCCACAGTTTTGTTCAAATGTCTTCAGTCATTCATGAGATATTTTGCTAACAGACACTCTCAGAGGTGATTACATTGTTGCCCACCTTTTGGCAGAAGAAACACTTTCATCTCAATTCTTTCAAAGCAAACAGGAAAATAAAGTTTCACTGATCCTTTAATCAGATTTAATTTAATTACATTTATTTATAAGGATCAAAGTTGTTTTTAATTAATATAAAACTTTTATGACTACTACTATTAACAACAATAATAATGTTCATTTTATTTTAATAACACATTAAAATACCTGAAGTGGACCAAAGTGCTTTATAATTTAAACATGCAAAATATTATTAATTATAATAATAATTATTTGTTGATTCTCTTTTTATTAATTGCTGATTTAATTTTTTTTGTAACGTGACCTTGAGTTTTTGAAAGGTGCCCTGAAATAAAATTTATTATTATTATTATATTATTATTATTCAAAAACAACAATAAAAAGAAAAAAGAGAAGTAAAAATATAAAATTAAAAAGACTCTGAGTTAACCCATTAAAATAACAATATTTAAAAAAATAAATAAAAACTTTACCGTTATAAATGGTAAATGCAGGGCACAAGAAAGTGGAACAAGTTGTGCTTTTTATTTCAAGATTCAAGGTTCTTTATCATCATTCACATCACATGTGGTACATGAGGTGGAACGAAATTGTGTACTCAAGATCCCAGGTACACCCAAAAATAGTAAAAACATAAAGTTTAAAAGCAACAGTATACAAGGATCTAGAATATGCTTGTACGCTAAACACTAATTTGTGCACAAATATGTTGAAAACAAGAGATTAATGACTTTAAATGAAGTCACAGATCACAACACATTGCCAGGATTATTGAATTAAATTTATTTTTGATTGTCCACTGTTGTCTTCACTCTTTGTTAAAACCAGGTCTCTCTTGTAAATGAGTCCCCGAGGCTCAATGGGATCAACCTGTAGAAATAAAGGTTGAATGAATGAACCTAATTAAAGGAATTGTTGGTTGTTGTAGTTCCACAGTTTGTCCAGCAGGGGGCAGCAGCGCTCCTTCAGGTCGGTGCGTCAACCCGGAAGTAGACGAGGATAACCGGAAGTACAGTTATAAACGCTGTTTATCGGGTCTTTTTGTTTTTTCTCTTAGATTTGTGTAATTTTGTTTTGGTGTGAAGCCATGTGAAGATGCCCCTCAGTCCCGCTAACCAGGCCCAGCTGATCCGGTCCAGTCAGAAGGACGAATTTTACCGAACCCACCTGAGGAACAAGGCCAACGATGCGGTGCAGACCGTCGCAGGTCAGACAGTTTAATGTCGTTTAGTCCAAACGTTTATAAAGTGAAACTGCTTCAAAGAAAAGTTTTAACATTTAGGAACAATTTGTTGCTTCAGTTTCCAGTTTTATAAAAACAGAACCTCGTTCAGCAGCAGAACTCTGTGGGACTTCATCAGTCTCCTGGTTCTGGAGGAGTTCTGCATCGTTGGTTTCTGCTCAGCTCCCTGAAGGTCCACCACACTCAGGACCGTCTGGACTCTACTGGACCGACGGTTCGGTTCTTTCTGACCCGTTCTGTTTTAGATCAGTTGCTGTGTTTGGGATCCTGGTCCTGTTGGATCCAGTTTGGGCCAAGTTTCTGTTTCTCCCATCGTAGTTTATTTTGAAAAGACTTCATAATGGAAGTCCTGGTGCTGGGTGAGCGCGACCTTCGTCCCAGAATCTGTGCACGTTGCTCCACGTCACTGCACAAACGAGCTGACGGAACAGATCGTGCAGGGACAGGCCCGTTGGGCCGATGAGAGTGAAGGAACAAGAATCGCGGCTCGCAGGATTAGCAGCAGCACATGTCTCTGCACCTGAAGCCGTTGATTCGTTACACGGTTTCTTTAATATTTAAAAAATTATATTATTTACTAATAAACTGTTTGCCGCAGTGCATTCTGGGTAACCATCTGTTCTCTGGTTCTGGTCCACAAGTCTTGTGGTTCCTTCAGATGAAAGTCGAGTTGCCATGTTGCTTTAAGAGGCCATGACCTTTGACCTGCTAACTGAGGCGGAGCTCACTGCACGGTCTGACCTTCAGGGTGAATGTGCTGCGAGGCTCGTCATCCGTCTGAAAGGTTTTAAACTTGTGAACGATCGTCTCTGTAGAACGAGGGACTGCAGATAAATGACCTTTGACCCTCCTCAGATTGATTGACAGCTGCTGCCGTGAGGGAACCGGTTTGAGATTCTTTTGTCTTCTCTGGTCTTCAGGGTCCAAACGATGGCTGGACTGGAGGAGGGAGATCGAGCTGCTCTCAGATCTCGCCTACTTCGCTCTGACGACGCTCTCAGGTGCTCCTCACACGTTCAGAGGTGGAACTTCATGGTCCAAAGTTCTTCAGTTCTGTTTTGGCTCCCTGCAGGTCTTCAGACTCTGGGCGAGGAGTACGTCAACATCGTCCAGGTGGACCCGACCGGGCGTCGGATCCCGTCCCGGGCCAGGCGAGGCCTCTTCGTCCTCCTCCACTCCGTGCTGCCCTACTTCCTGGAGAAGGTCCTGGTGTGTCTGGAGAACGAGCTGGAGGGCGAGCCGGAGCGGCGCCAGGCGGCGGAGGGGTGGAGCCTGGAGCGCTGGCTCCGGGGGCGTGTCCGGAGGGCGGTGGCTCTGCTGACGGCGCCTCAGAGGAGGGCGTGTCAGCCGGCGGTCTTTGTGATCCAGCAGAGCCTGGCTCTCCTGCACCGGCTCCACGTGGCCATCTTCTACATCCGAGGGTCCTTCTACCAGATGTCCAAGAGGACGGCCGGGATCGGATACGTGAGTCCAGACTGGATCAGAACCAGGACAAAATACAAATCAAGTCTTTGACCCGTGTCCTGTCTCCGGTTGTCTCTTTGACCCGTGTCCTGCCACCAGTCGTCTCTTTGTCCCGTGTCCTGTCTCCGGTCGTCTCTTTGACCCGTGTCCTGTCTCTGGTCGTCTCTTTGACCCGTGTCCTGTCTCCGGTCGTCTCTTTGACCCGTGTCCTGTCTCCGGTTGTCTCTTTGTCCTGTGTCCTGTCTCCGGTCGTCTCTTTGACCCGTGTCCTGTCTCCGGTCGTCTCTTTGACCCGTGTCCTGTCTCCGGTCGTCTCTTTTACCCGTGTCCTGTCTCCGGTCGTGTCTTTGACCCGTGTCCTGTCTCCGGTCGTGTCTTTGTCCCGTGTCCTGTCTCCGGTCGTCTCTTTGTCCTGTGTCCTGTCTCCAGTCGTCTCTTTGACCCGTGTCCTGTCTCCGGTTGTCTCTTTGACCCGTGTCCTGCCACCAGTCGTCTCTTTGTCCCGTGTCCTGTCTCCGGTCGTCTCTTTGACCCGTGTCCTGTCTCTGGTCGTCTCTTTGACCCGTGTCCTGTCTCCGGTCGTCTCTTTGACCCGTGTCCTGTCCTTGTTTAGCTGCGTGTGATCGGACAGAGCGGAGACGACTTGTCCATCCGGCGCAGCTACCGGCTGCTGGGTCTCTTGTCCCTCGTCCAGCTGCTCGTCACCGTCTCGCTGCAGCTCAGCAGCTTCAGACGGAGACAGAGAGCCCGGCAGGAGTGGACGCTCCACAGGAAGCTCAGGTACTGGACCAGAACAGTCCACCTTCTCGTCAGAACCGTCTCTTAAGGCTGCTCTGTGTGTCCTAGTCCTCAGCGCTCGGTGAGCTCGAACCCCCGAGCCGCTCGCTGCATCCTGTGTCTGGAGCCCAGGAGGAACTCCACCTGCACCCCCTGTGGACACGTCTTCTGCTGGGAGTGCATCACCGAGTGGTGCAACACCAAGGTCAGGTCCAGACCTGCACCTCGTTTGCTTTTATTCAGAGTTGGTTCTGATGAACCGGACTCGGTTTTTGTCCCGACTGAACCCTTTTTGTCTGGACGTCTTCAGGCCGAGTGTCCTCTGTGTCGGGAGAAGGTTCTGCCTCACAGACTCGTGTTTCTGCGGAACTACGGCTGAAAGAACCGGTCCAGATGTTCCGTACGGATCCGAACATCTGCACACTGCAGCTCCAGCCTCCGAGGATTGATCGTCTCATCCAGAGGTTCAGGAACCAGTTCTGGATCGAATCAGTCGACTCGTGTCAGAACGTACGGAGCCCCTGAAGTGCCGCTGGTTTGTTTCAGTTGAACTATTTAAATCCTGCAGACGAGATCAGCTGATTCGTCTCATGTTCAAAAGCTATAAAAGAATTTAGCAAAGGCACTTCAGGAGTCCTGCAGTCAGAATCAATTAATTATTTTTGCCACAAAATGTTAAAATTTGTTTGTTTTTAAATAAATGTGAACATTAATAAGGTTTTTTGTTAATTAACTGCTTTAGCTCTGCTGTTCAGAGACACGTTCATATTAAACTTATATTTTGTAGAAAAATCAAAAGATGACTCGTTTGTCCAACACGTGATATTTACCTGCGCAGGTGAACAGGCACCTTCGTTTACGGTAACTCTTGATCTTTAAAGCACCAATTTACAACAAAAATCAACTCCAGGTACTAAAAGTTCCTCAAAACGAAAAACAGCGGCATGTTTGTGTAGTCCATTTCAGTTAGCTTAGCATGTAGCTATGGTTAGCGTGTAGTTATGCTTAGCATTTAGCTACGCTAAGCATGTAACTACACTTAGGCTGTAGCTACGCTTAGCATGTTGTTACAGTAAGGATATAACTGTACTAAGCATGTAGCTAAAATTAGCATATAGCTACACTAAGCATGGAGTAAGGCTTAGCATTTAGCTAAGTATGTAGTTATGCTATGTAGCTACGATTAGCATGTAACTACATTTAGCAAGTAGTTATGCTTAACATGTATTATAACATGTAGCTACGCTTACCGTGTAGTTATGCTAAGCATGTAGCTATGTAGTTGTAGCATGTAGTTACATTTAGCATGTAGTTATATTTAGCATGTAGTTACATTTAGCATGTAGCTATATTTAGCATGTAGTTACATTTAGCATGTAGCTATGCTTAGCATGTAGTTACATTTAGCATGTAGTTATATTTAGCATGTAGTTATATTTAGCATGTAGTTACATTTAGCATGTAGCTATGCTTAGCATGTAGCATGTAGTTATAGTTAGCATCTAGCTATGCTTAGCTTGTAGTTATATTTAGCATGTAGTTACATTTAGCATGTAGCTATGCTAATGTGCGACTACACTAACAGGAACTAAAGAGTGTTCAGTTAATTGTCCATCCTCAGGACTGAGCAGAAACTAACGGTTCTGTTTAATGTGGTGCAGATTGTTCTGCCCTCCCTGAACGTTCTGGTCCAGTTTTCTGGTTAAAGACGATGGTTTGAAGGTTCAGACTCGATTTGATGCCGAACAAAATAACTTCATTAATACTTTAATAAAGTGTCGGTATGATGCTGCTTGTATTATTTACACATTTCAGAGTTTGTGTGTGCACATTCTGTCCGCCATCTTGGAAGACGACCTGCAGCGGAACAACCGTCGAGTTAAATCTAGAGGTCCACTTCCTGTCCCGCCCACCTCTACCGGCTGTGACAGAGTGAAGATGGCCAAAGCTCACAGCCGACATCAAAATTATTTGACAGCAAGCTCACCTGGATCTGTGGCGCCAATTGTAAAATTTTTACAATAAATTTATAAAACTGATCGTTTCATTCAGCAACGAAATGAACGTCTCAACAGGTCGGTTTACTGGAAACCTCTAAACTGGAAACATCTAAACTGGAAACATCTGAACAGTCAAATGTAGAACATCCTACAGAAAAGGTCAAAAGACCACAAAGGTCACCGTTGGTTCAGTTCCGGCGGCTCACGGATGAGAGCTCAAACCTTCTGGAGACCAGAAAAGGCTGAGACGATGATGCGGTTCACTCGTCGGCCGGTTGCTGCAGACGAGTGAGGAGAGCGGGCGGCACCGAGCAGATGCTCTTTAATGGGACAAACGACGAGTTAACGACGTCCTTGAGCTTTCTGGTGGCCCGGACCAACTGTCGCCTCTCTGCGCGTTCTCCCTCCTGCCGGCCTCGTTCCGGATGATCAGCTCTTCTCCTCCGTGGAGAGAACGTCTGAGAGGCGGCAGCTGTGGACGGGTCAGAACCGATCCCTGGGCCCAGAGCTGCTTCACCAGCAGCAGGTTTTATTCCTGCCTGGACTCAGGAGGGAAACTGTCGTTTCTCTGACGAGGCCTCCTGACACACATTCCTGCATTTGGCAAAGAAACCTACACCTGTTCCCAAACTGTTTAAAACTCGCTGAGGGGACACTCGGATATTTGGGCGTCACATTTCCATCTCTTGGGACGTCGAACACAAAACATACGGTATTTAACCACATCTGGACGCGTTGGTGAGAAACTGTCCCGTAAACGCAGGTTTCATCGTTTCATTGCAAACCTGGTCAGGAAGTGACACGAAGCTGCTTCCTGTCGCGCTTCTCTGAGTCCAAGTTTGGACAAACGGTGAGACAACAGCGCCACAGTCAGGTGGGACAGACGAGGACATCACGTCTGCTTGAAGCTCCAACATTGTCCAAGAGTAAACGAGAAGAAAAATAAATTAAAAACTGGAAAACTCATGAACGACGACGCTCGAAACGCCAAATCCATAAACTTTCTTCTCTGGAGCCCAACAGGAAGCTGAGACTTTTATTTTGTAGTAACCAAATGGCCATTCTTTTTTAATGTAAAAACTGCAGCAAAGATCAAAAGAAACGTTAAAAAAAGCTGCTGCCAGTGGCTCATCAGGGTCACCATGGTAACCACATATGTCTGTCACTCCCTGACAACACTCAATGAGCAGCAGTGGTTAGCGCTGTTGCCTCGCAGCAAGAAGGCCCTGGACTCAAAATGCAAATCTCTCAACAACCTAGCTCCACCTTATATTACAAATCTTATTGTTCCATATTTTCCTAACAGATCATTTTGCTCTCAGACTGCAGGTTTACTTGTGGTTCCTAGAGTTTCCAAAAGCAGAATGGAAGAAAGCTATTTCGGTTCTCAGGCTCCTCTCTTGTGGACCAAACTTCCAGTTTGTGAGGCTGACACATTGTTCAGTTTGAAGACTTTTCTTTTTGATAAATCCTATAGTTAGAGTTGGCTTGGGTTTCCTGAGATATCCCTTAGTTAGGATGCTATAGGCTTAGACTGCTGGTTTACTTATGGTCCCTAGAGTTTTCAAAAGCAGAATGGGAGGCAGAGCTTTCAGTTTTCAGGCTCCGCTCTTCCAGTTTCTGTCCATGATGCTACTTGTAAGACTTTCCTTTTTGAGAAATCCTATAGTTAGGGTCAGCCTTGGTTCTGCTGCTATAGGACCCTGAAGCTCAGCTCATTTATTCAACTCTTCTTTTTAACTAGAGTACCACATTCGGCGTATCAGATGCCCGTTGACAATCTATTACACAGCAATCTATAGCAAAGACCTTGTATAGCCTTTGACCTTGATTTGTGACCTTGACCTTGGCTGATGAAAGGTGTACATAGCACTTTGTCTTTGTGTGTTTCTCGTTGTTTTGTCTCCCTGCGTCATCCTGCCAGGTAAAATAAAGTTTTTCATTGTTTTTATTAGCGGTTAGCTCCAATCTGAGACCAATCTGACTGCGGTCTGCTGCAGGTAAGATACTGACTGCTCACAAAGACTCCACAAACCATGAAATAAAGAAGCGGGAGGCGTTAAGTGCAGAGTAATTCATTGTCGAACAGCGTTAAAACAAAACGTCAGAGCGAGCGGCGCTTCAAACAACGAGCGCTCAACGTGCCCCGACCGCATCACGACCCTCGAGTTACAGGGTGACAACATGCGCGGCGTGCACGCCCATACAAACAGGCGTGGCGTGCACGCCCATACAAACATCCCAAAGTCCGAAACGTCATGGCGTCAGAACAGCGTTTGCGATTTTAAATAAAAACAATCCTTAAATAAAAATGTCCACCGAACGTGACGCTGCGCTCGTCTGAAGCCCGTTCCTGCCGGGCGGCGCCGCCTCCGCAGCTTTTCACTGCAGCCGCTCGTCGATCTGCTGGTGTCGTCGGGCAGAAACGGGCTTCCAGAGTTATTTACATCATACCGTACGAGTCGAAGAAAAGAAGAAGTCCAGAACTCATTTACAGCCACAACATTTCAAAATAAAAGCATAATAATAATAATAATAATAAAAAAGCGTAAAAGTTTGTTTACATTCATTTTAGGCGACAGCATCTTGGATCTCGATCAGCCCTGCGAAGAAAAACGACTCGTTCCGGAACCGACCCGAAGCTTCAGAACCGGCCGACTGTAACAGAACTGGTAAAAACGGTTCCTGTTTCAAACAGAAACTGGGTTTCTTTGGATAAAAACTGGTTTATAAACTGGGACTTCCTGATTTTTCTGCAGCTTTAAACTCATTTAATTTAAATTTTAACAACAAAAACTCAAATTATTTCATTAAATGAAAGTTCTGGGTCAAACTGATGTTTTTATTTAAAGTCGGAGTGAAGACGCAGGAGTTCTGGTGACCAGGTCCACATCGGGACGGCGCCGGAGGGATGTCATATCTGCAGTCTGGGTTGAAAAGCAGGTTCTGGCTGACCCGACTGAGCTGGTCCGACTTCACTCAGACTTTAAAACACGTCATTATTTGGTCAACTAAAAGACAGATTAATTATTAATTGTTATTAATTAATTATTAATAAACTAAAAAGGAGCTGCAGGCACCGACCCAAACCTTCCCTCACTGCAGGAGCAGAAAACTCAGGCCCGGTTCTGAAAACTCAGGCCCGGTTCTGAAGTACAAGTCTTCATGTTTGTTCCACAAAATGCATAACTCTCCCGATGAGCGACTTGTGCGAACCTCGAGTCTAGAAAAAGTTGGGGGTGGGGACGTCTTTGGTCGGAAGAACCCGGATCCCTGAAGAGAACCGGTCTGACCCGATGGGAGCGGGTCGGGTTCGAGGAGCCCTACAGAGGGAATGTAAAGAGATGCTGGTTGTCTGGAGGGGACACGTCCGTCCAGGAGTCTGTGGACCCGGCTGGGTCTGGGTGAGCAGGAAGTGGAGCGGTTTCCTCAGGAGCGTTAGAGTCAAGCAGCAGGTTCCTATAGACGAAGACGAGCCGCTCTGCTGTCCGCCGCTCACACTGAAGAGTTCTGACGGCGGCGGCTCGGTTCCTGAAGGGCGGGTGAGAAGCGGGCGGGCTCATCTCTTCCCCGACTTCATGTAGGAGGGGATGGCGCCGCGGGCCGTCAGGCCCTCGAAGCGCTTGTAGGTGTAGTTGATGAAGACCCAGTCCTTGTTCTTCAGGTCCGCCTCGCTCTGGTTGGACACCGGAGCGGCTGCAGAGACAAAAACACGAGACATCGCATGAGACGGCGCAGAGACGACGCACCTGCAACGTGTCGATGGAAACGTACTCGTGGGCGTGAGGATGTCGGAGTCGGGGAACTCGTCGAAGTTGGACGTGTCGTCGATGCTTTTGATGTTGATGGGGATGGCGGCGGGTCTCTCTCTGCACCAGACGAGTCAAAGACACGAAGACCACGTTAACACCTGGACACTAAAACCAGACCCGGACCCGAGTCGGTCCGGTTGTTCTGAGACACGAGCGTCGTGGTTTGGGTGGGACCGCGTTCTGATGGAACCACGTTAACTCGACAGTCACGAGGACGCTGATGGTTCTGACAGAAGTCCTGATTTTTTCACGGACTCGGTTCTAATCAGGTCGACCCAACGCAGCTTCAGAGTCTTTCCAATGGGCGGTCCAATCTGCCTCCAGCCCGGGTCTTAGGACCTCCTGGGCCGAGGTTCTGAGCGAGCCTGAAGGTTGGACGTCAGCAGGAGTGAGAGAGCCGTCAGTCACGAGAATCAAACTCTCCAGACCAGAACGTTTGTCGTTGACTTTTCTCAGTTTTATAAAAAACTACTGAGCAGAACTGAGTCGGGTCGAAGTAGAGCGAGTCGAGCTGAGACCGGACCGTGGAACCACAGAATAAATCGGAGGTTTCTGACGTGGAGCGTCGCGTTTAAAGAGCGTCCGACGACTC